GACGCGGCCACTGGGGCCGTCGGTGGAACTCCCCATTGGGCCACGAAACGTGTGAGAGGTATGCCAGAATGTACATGCGGCGGGCGGGGAGGGCGCATGCGCACGCGGCCTCTGGGGCATTCGGTGGAGCTCCCTGTGGGGCCACGAAGCGTGTGAGGGGTGATGGTGATCATGACGGCGATTATGACGGCGATGATGGCGATGATGGCAGTCGTGATGGTGATGAAAACGGTGATGACGCTGATGATGACGATGATGATGATACTGACGATGATGATGATGATGATGATGATGATGATGATGATGCTGATGATGATGATGATGATGATGATGATGCTGATGCTGGTGTTGATGCTGATGATGATGCTGAAGATAATGATGATGGGAGGAGGGAGGAGGGGGAGGAGGAAGGAAGGAGAAACGCAGGGCGCTGTCTCTTCAAAACGAAGGCCGGTTGGGAACAACGGTTGTGACGACCTCGTCCCTCCCTTCTCCGCCGCCTCCTTTCCGGTGTTCCGTCTTCCCACTTCCCTCCCTTCCTCCTCCGCCTCCGTCATCGTGTTCATCCTTCCGCCCCCGTTCTATCCCGCCTCACCATCATACTCCTCTTGCCCATTCTGCCATCTTCCCTCCTGCTTCTCCTCCTCCTCCATCTCTTCTCCTGAAGCAGATTGTCTCCTTGTCGAGCCCCTGGCGTGTCGCTAGGGCGGCCGATCGCGTCGCCCTGCGTCTCCTCACCAGTTCTGATCGTCAAGCTTGGACTTTGCAACAGCTTCACTGATAGAGTGCAGGTCGTTTCAAAGTGTAGCTCCCGCATCAGCAGCGCGCACATTGATCCTCAACGGCCGCAGCAGTCTTTAAGATGGAGGGCAAGTCGTTTTCAGGATGTGGTTGTCGCCCTTTAGCGCTGGGCACATTCGTCTTACCAATTTGCACCAGTGCTGAAACATGGCTCTCGCCTTTGCGCTGCGAGCATCCGTTGTTAAAGTTATGAACCGTTTCGAAGATGGCAGGCGGTCCCTTCTTAGAAATGTGGCTCTCGCCTGAGCACTGACCACATTCGTCTGGAATGTCTGCAATAAGTGAATTGCCTTGTATGGTTGAAGTCTGGCACGATTTGGGATTCCCACGAAACATCAGCACCATTCATTCGCGGTGTTAGTACCATGAATTGTGTCCTGGGACGACGTATGATTGTCAGGACGCAACAGTCACGTCGACATGCGGTGCTGGAAGCCAAGACGTGCGTTTGGGCACAATTTGGGACTCTCAGAAGCTTGTTATCCAATGGCACAAATGCCGCAATGGAGATGAACTCTCGTCGGGACCTATGAGGTGGAAACTTGTAAAGAGGGTTCACTGCAACATCCTTGATGCGTCGTGGTTTGCACTGGTCCTCCTCCTCCTCCTCCTTCTCCTCCTCCTCCTCCTCCTCCTCCTCCTCCTCCTCCTCCTCCTCCTCCTCCTCCTCCTCCCCCTTCCCCTCCTCCTCCTCCTCATTCTCCTCCCTCCTTCTTCCTCGAACCCTCCTCCTCCTCCTCAGCTCCTATACCTGATAGATGAACCCCCTCTGTGGCACCCCGAAGCCGGTCGAAAGGGCGGGCTGGGAATTTCGCCTGAGGCCTCCTCACCACTTATGACCCTGATGCTTCAATATGGGCAACGGCTTCACTGGAGGGTGGTTGGTTTTCAACATGTGTCTCTCGCCTTGGCGCCGCACACCTTCGTCCTGACAGGGTACAAGGGTGTCATGGATTGAGGGCGGGTGGTTTTCAAAATGTGACTCTCGCATTGGCGCCGCGCACCTTCGTTGTAAAGGAAACAAGAGTTAGGAGGTTGAAAACGACTGGTTTCCAACATGTGGCTCTCGCCTTAGCGACGCGCACATTCGTTTTAAGGATGTGCAAGAGCTTCAAATATTGAGTGCGGGCCGTATTCAAAAAGTGACTTCGCCTAGCGCCGCGCACATTCGTTTCAGAGAAGTGTAGAGTTTAACATATAGGAGTTGGTTGGTTTCCAAAATGGAGCTCTCGCCTGAGCGCCGACGACGTTCGTTTAAAACATGTACAAGAGCTTCACGGATTGAGGGCGGGCCTTTTACAAGATGCGGTTCTCGCCTAGCGGCTCTCGCCTTCGCGCCGCTTACATTCGTTGTGAAATGTTGAAAGGGCGTCAAGGATTGAGGGCGGTTGATGTTCAAAATGTGGCACTCGCCCTGGCGCCGCGAACATTTGTTGCAGAAATGCAAAAGCTTCACGGATTAAGGGCGGCTCTTTTTTCAAAATGTGGCTCTCGCCTTAGCGCCGCGCATATTCGTTTCTAACGTGAGCTCCACTGCTTCTCATGAATAACGTACCAGAAATTGTGTTTTGGAGGGTTCCGGATTGTCAGGGAGCAACAGTTACGTTGCTTCCCGCTGTTGAAGTCCCAGGGATGGTGTTCTGGCACGATTCAGGATCGCCAAGACGTAACATTCAGGTTAACTCGTGGCGTTGAAGTCCTGAGAATGGTGGTTTGGCACGCTTCACGATGTTCACGCGGTTGTCCCCCAACGGGGCAATTCCCTCAGTGGGCCTTAGAGGGGGCCCCCTTGCAGGGGCCTGTGTAAGGGGGATCTTGGAGGGGGGTGAGTTTCAGCATCATCGTTGATGAATGTTGGGTTTACACTGGTCCCCTCCTCCCCCTCCCCCGCGCGGACGATCACCCGCGCATTCGAGTGAGGGGGAGAAGGAGGAGGAGGGCATGATAGCCCAGAATCGAATCGGTACCGTCGGGGCGTTGACCTAAGGAACCCTAAATAAGGAACGAGGCCCCTTTTTCCAAAAGGTAAACTTCGATCTCCCATGGAAAACCTCAGGAAACCCTAGGCAAACTGCAAGACAATCAAGGGACACCATCCCCCTCCCCATCGAAAAGGGTTCCTTCTTCAGCGCCCCGACTGTAAGTCGGGTCGGCGATCGAAATGAATCGGATCGACGGAGATCGGCAGCAAAGTCGGAAGGAGTCCGATCGGCAGAAATCGGCAGTCGGGGATGATCGGGCCCCCCTTTAGTAGAACGTGGTTTAGTGAAAACGACCTGAGGCCCAAACCTGGCGGGCGCAGGCCTGGAAAACAACGGCCACGGCGCCCTCTCGAGAACCGAAAACGGACAATTCACTAATCGACGTGTCACTGTTGGGGGTTCTGTCCACCCCCGAAAAGAGTCCGATCGGCAGAAATCGGCAGGCTAAGCAGAGCTCCGTTGAGAGAGCGGACTCTCGACTCCGGAATCCGGAATCTGGAGGCGCAGCGAAGCGGAAGCGGAGGCCATCGAAACCGAATGGGATCGGAGCGGAGGAATCAGCAGCAGCCCTGGGAGAGGGGGGGGAAAGAGAGAGGGAAGATCGAAAAACCTATCTCCCGTGCGTGAACGTCTTTGAAGAGGCCCAGGGACACACACACACACACACACACACACACACATGAATACACACAAAAACAACCGGTTTCCCCATACTGTCCCATACTTCCTGGGTTTCTTCGTCTTCCCCCCCACTTCCCATATTTTCCCCTATGTTCTGGGGAATCGACGATTCATTGTGCCTGTGTGTGTTTCTTCCCCTCCTGAGTCGTGCTGCGCCCTGCCTGGGCCCGTCCTCCCGCGCGCGGCCGCCTCCGAGGGCCGCCGAGGGCCGCCGCCGAAGCGCCGCCGCGGAGGCCGCCGAGGAGGCCGCCGAGGAGGCCGCCGAGGAGGCCGCCGAGGGGCCGCCGAGGGCGCGCGCGGGGCCGAGGGGCCGCCGGGGGGAGCGCCGAGGGCCGCCGGAGGCCGCCGGGGGGAGCGCCGAAGGCCGCCGAGGCACCTCGAGGGGTCGCCGGCCCTGACCTTCCAAGAGGGCTACAAAACAGCACGCGACTGAAACACCTATCCCAAAGCTGTGTTATACGTCTTGGTTTTAGGCTGTTTCGCTCGGTTGTTACCTAACAGCGAAGACTGATAGGTTTCTAGTGGTGTCAAAAGAGAGCATCATGACTCCTCAGGGGGGTCGGGGCGGGACCCGGGGCGGCTGCCGCCGAAGCCCAAATCGCCTGGGACGTCCTCGCAAAATCGCTCTTGGCGCTCCCAGAACGCCATTCCCGGGCTACATTTTGAATGCCCGTAGCCAACTGTAGACCACTTCGTGCTCTTCGACTTCCCAGAACGCCATTCCCGGGCCACATTTTGGATGCCCGGAGCCAACTGTAGGCCACTTCGTGCTCTTCGACTTCCCAGAACTCCATTCCCGGGCCACATTTTGGATGCCCGGAGCCAACTGTAGGCCACTTCGTGCTCTTCGAGTTCCCAGAACTCCATTCCTGGGCATGATTTTGAATGCCCGGAGCCAACTGTAGGCCACTTCGTGTTCTTCGAGTTCCCAGAACTCCATTCCCGGGCCACATTTTGAATGCTGAGGCAGGCTGATGCTGAGGCTGAGGCAGGCTGAGGCTGAGGCAGGCTGAGGCTGAGGCCGAGGCTGAAGGCAGACTGAGGCTGAGGCTGAAGCAGGCTGAGGCTGAGGCTGAGGCAGGCTGAGGCTGAGGCTGAGCAGGCTGATGCTGAGGCAGGCTGAGGCTGAGGCTGAGGCTGATGCAGGCTGAGGCTGAGGCAGGCTGAGGCTGAGGCCGAGGCTGAAGGCAGACTGAGGCTGAGGCTGAAGCAGGCTGAGGCTGAGGCTGAGGCAGGCTGAGGCTGAGGCAGGCTGAGGCTGAGGCTGAGGCCTTGAGGCTGTGACTGTGACTGCCGTTGCCACTGCGACTGTCATCGCGAATGCGACTACGACTGCGAGAACAGCAGAATTCTACAACTGGATTCTCATCTGAATCTTAAGGGGAATGCTTCCAGATATGCTCCTACACATCGCTGTTAGGTTGCTTTGCCGGGATAATTGTTATGTTTTCAGGCCTCCAGTGCTACAAAAAAAAATAGCTCTCTGGAAGGTCAGGGGAGGGCCGCCGACGGCCGCCGAGAGGGCAGCAGCCGGGCCTTGGGCACCGCGTGCCGGGACAGCCGGGCGACGCCGTCGAGGTCTTCGGGGCACAGCAGCAGGTCTGCGGCAGCGGGGGGCAGCGGGGCGAGAGGGAGGCCCAGGGCCGAGGAGGGCGGCTCCGGGGGATCGGCTGGTCTTGTCTGGGTGCTCCGACTCCTGCCGCCCTGCTGGGCCTCGGGGAGCGGGTTCCGCTCGATTTCGGCCGAGGCCTGCCACGGGAGGGGCCCAGAGGTCGATATACGATTACCGAACCCAAGAGGGAGAGGCGGAGGGGGGAGGGAACCTCCTCCTCCTCCTGATCCTCCTCCTCCTCCTCCTCCTGATCCTCCTCCTCCTCCTGATTTATCTCCTTGTCCTCTCCGCCCCCCCGAAGTTTCGGGCAGGACCCACCCTGGGAGAGGTGCATGGATCGATTTTCCGAAGGATGGGGACCGGGACATTCAACGCTTTGAAATTACACCTGAGAAAACCCCAATCAGTGGATGATTTGAAAATTGATACTATGAACTTGAGATCGATTTTGAGATCGATAATGAGATCGATAGTAGAATCGATAGTGAGGACGATTGTAAGGTCAATCGTGAGACCGAGTGAAATCAATTCAAATGAGATCGATAGTGAGATCGATCGCGAGATCGCTCATGCGATCTCTAGTGAGATCGCTTGTGAGATTGATAGTGAGATCGATTGTGAGATCGATAGTGAGATCGAACGAGAAGACGATAATGAGATCGATGGTGAGACCAATCGATAAGAAGATCGACCAAGAACCTGGGAACCTGGGAACCTCGCCGCCCTCCGAAATCGGCCATGAACCTGGAACCGGGAACCCGGGAAACCGGGAAACCGGGAACCGGGAACCCGGGAACCGGGAACCCCTGCCACCAAAATCGGCGTGGAACTTTCGCCAAATCCTTCAATAACACCTGAGAAAACCCCAATCAGTGGACGATTTGAAAATTGATACTATGGATCTTGAGATCGATTGTGAGATCGATAATGAGATCGATAGTGGAATCGATAGTGAGGACGATTGTAAGGTCGATCGTGAGACCGAGAGTGAAATCAATTCAAATGAGATCAATAGTGAGATCGATCGCGAGATCGCTCATGCGACGATCTCTAGTGAGATCGCTTGTGAGATTGATAGTGAGATCGATTGTGAGGTCGATGGTGAGATCGATCGAGAAGACGGTAATGAGAGCGATGGTGAGACCGATCGATAAGAAGATCAACCAAAAAACAGGGAACCCGGGAACCTCGCCGCCCTCCGAAATCGGCCCGCAACCCGGAACCGGGAACCCGGGAACCCAGAACCGGGAACCTGGGAACCCGGGAACCAAGCCTGCCACCAACATCGGCGTGGAACTTTCGCCAAATCCTTCAACTTCCGCTAGGACCCCTTCAGTGCAAGCACTGATTGGGGAACTTCCGCTAGGACCCCTTCAGTGCAAACACTGATTTGGGAAAATAAGACGGCGAAACGGCTGAGTTGTCTTCCTCCGTAGCACGGCTTCGGGGCCTGGGACTGGCAAAGCAACTATTCGGGCTAGATGGAGACACTTGCCCCCAGGGAGGGCTCGCGATATCTGGAGATTGCGTGTGGAAGCACATTCGGACGTCGGAGGTCTGGGAATGCAAAACAAATCAAATAGAAGAAGGCGAGAAGGGATAGTTAGAAGGAGAAGGTAAAGATGGTGTGGAGTGGGTGGGGGACGCAACATATACACACATGCCTGCAGGCTGGCACTTAGCCCATGAGTGCTGGATACGCCCTCCTGGCCAAGCCAGGGAAGCGTTATACGTCGAAACTGTGCGCAGGAAGGTCTGGCCCAAGCTTAGCCAAAACAATATTGATCGTTTTTGTTTTGCTTTCGACCCACCTTTGCTGCAAAACGAAATCGAAACGAAAACGGCCCACGAAATCGCCGAAACACTGTTTAGGTCGACCCCTGGTGCGCAGGAAGGTCTGGCCAGGATGAGGAGAGAACCAATCCAGCCCACCGTGTCATTAGGCATTCCGGACCCATGAAAACCTCCGCTTCTCGACATCGGCAGACAGACCCCTGACGGCATGATCCCGCAATCCCGAGCCCTTCTGTGACGGTCCCAGGACCCAGCTTAAGGGCCCACAGGAAGTGAGGGCAAGGTAAAAAAACGGTCGCAAGCTCCGACCTCGACGCGAGGGGGTCCGGGTCCCGGGGTCAAAGAGCGGCCCCCAAAACCTCCCCCGGGGTAGATTCTGGCCAAACTTGCGACGGGCATCCACACGTGGCGACGAGAACGACCCTGGAGGCTCAAGACAACAGTAGGACATCCCAAATCCTACGCTCTCAAAGGTTCGATCCGCGAGGTACCCTCCCACGATCGGGGGGGGGCCAGCGGTGTGCGTGGCCCGGGGTGCCCCCAGCGTCTCCGCACACGCCGGGAGAACCCAGGGGGCCCCTGGCCTCGTGAGGAATGATCTGGAGGGCGCGGACACCTTGGGCCAAAGGGCGCTGCACACGGCAGGCTCGTGCCGTGTAGGCCCCGGCGTTGGCTCCTGACAGCCAGCAGGGATCGCTCAGCCTCGAGTGATCGGTCGTTCCCGCAACGGCCGATCGTTCAACGTCGACCCATTCCGGGGCGCCCGGCGGCGCCCCACGTCGAACGCCGGCGGCGGGGTCGCCGCAGGTCGACACGACGTGGCCCTACCGTACAGCTCCCGAGACGGAGCGATGGGTCTGAGTCGCCCTCGCCCCTTTTTAGGGGGAAAACAAACCTACCTCGCTTTTGACCACCCTCGTTTCCAAGATATACCAAACGATGCCAAATTGCAGCCTGTACTGGTCAGGCCGCTCGACGAGGAGGCGCGTGGTATGGCTTGGCTTTGCCTGGAAGCGAAAGCGGGGTGGGCAATTCACTCTCTGACTTTCGGACTCCGCCAGGCCGTCGAGCTTGGCGCCGTCCGCAAACCTCACGTCGTCCTGCGCCTCGGTCTTCCGCGTGGCCCGCCGGAGCTCCCTCAGCAGCAGCCGCCCGCACCACTCGACGCCGGCCTCGGCGACGGGGGCGGCCGCGGGAGGGCGGCGAGGGGCGGCATGCCAAAGACCTCTGGGGCTCAGGACCCCATGTCGCTTTGTCCTCCTCCTCCTCCTCCTCCTCCTCCTCCTCCTCCTCCTCCTCTTCCTCCCCCTCCTCCTCCTCTGAAGGGGCCCTGGGGCACACTGATAAATACACACAAATACAAAGATTCCCCATGTTTCCCCATAGTTTCTGGGTTTTTGTCGTCCCCCCCCACATCCCATATTTCCCCATATTTTCTCTGGAATCGACGGGTAATTGTGTCTGTGTGCGTCTTTCCCTCCTGAATGTCGCTTTGTCTTCTCAGAAGGCCACCCCCCTCGAACCATCCCACGCTCTGCGAGGCGTCAAGCAACGACGACGACGACGACGATGACAACGGCGCCTCTCGATGATGACGATGATGACGACGCTGACGACGACGACGACGACGACGACGACGACGACGCCTCAGACTCCCGACGTGGTGATGTGTTTGCCACAGCGTGTAGACCTCTGGAGGCCTCGAGAGCCCCTGCCCCGACCGGCCTCTCTTCCCGAGCTGCGCTTCGGAGGCCGCCCCGCGGGCGGCAGCAGCGGAGCAAGAACTGCACACGGCAGGCTCGTGTCGAGTAGACTCATGTCGGGCGTGTCCCCCTACAAGGGGATTTCCGGCGAAAAATTAAAATACAAAAACAAAAAAAAAAAAAAACAAAAAATGCCCCAAGAAGGCAGAACAATACTCAAAAAAATAGTCCCCGTACTATTTTTACAATTTTTTGACTATTCTGGGGGTATTTTAGTTTTTCGTCGAAAATCCCCCTGTAGGGGAACAGGCCCGACTTAAGAGTAGACCCCAGCGTTGGCTCCTGACACCACAGGGAACGTTCCCGCAACGTCCGATCGTTCAACATCGATCGATTCTGGATCGCTGGCGGCGTTCATTGTTGAACGCCGGCGTCGGGGTCGCCGCAGGTCAACACGACATGGCCGTACCATGAACATAAACGTTCGGAACTCCACTCGGATCTTTTGACTCTGCGCTGGACCCCCCTCCCTGGCGCGCAGAACGCGCCAGGGGCGGCACTGGAGGCACCGCCAGAGGAAGCCCGGCGCCGATCCAAGAACTCCGCGCCGGTCCCCACGACGACGACGACGACGACGACGACGACGACGACGACGACGAGGACGACGAGGACTCAGACTTCCGGCGTAACTACAGCCCTTCCGACGCGCTGCTCCCACGGAGGAGGAGGAGGAGGAGGAGGAGAAGGAGGAGCAGGAGGAGAAGGAGGAGGAGGAGGAGGAGGAAGAGGAGGAGGCGGAGAAGGGGAAGGAGGAGGAGGAGAAGGAGGAGGAGGAGGAGGAGGAGCGTGAGGAGGAGGAGCAAGAGGAGGAGGAGGAGGAGGAGGAGGACCCGCAAGGGGCGCGAGCAGGGCCAGAAGCATCAAAAGCGTCGATCCGCATCGAAAATAAAGATTTCTGAGGCTCCATTCCTCGACTCTCCTCGACGATCGAGAAGGACACCGAGGCTTCCACGATGTCCTCGAGCTCCGACCATCGAAGGATCCCGAACGCAATCGGGGATGGACAAAAACCCGTTTAGAAAAACGTGGTTTATTGAAAACGACGTCGGGCCCAAACCAGGCGGGCGCAAGCCTGGAAAATGACGGCCGCGACCCCCTCTCGAGAACCGAGAACGGACAATTCACTAATCGACGTGTCAGGGTGGGAGTTCTGTCCACCCCCGACGCAAGTGGGAGGCCGCCCCAGTTGGGACAGGGTTGAAGGGGTCAGAGGATCCCGCCGCATCGCCGATGCATCGGCGATGCATTGGCGACGTCGGGCTCCGAATCGCCTACCGCCGATGCATCAGCGATGCGGCGCGACCCACCGACCCATCTACGTAGACCTCATTTGCGCGCCGCCAGAATGTGTCCACATACACTGCCGCGGGGTCGCGTCCTGGAGCCTCGAGGAGCGGAGCATCTGGGCATCTACCCGCCCGCGCGGGCGAGCAGATGACCGTGCGCCCCGGAAAATAATCACTCAGGGAATGATGGAAGGCAGGAATGGCAGGAATGGTGGACGATTGTCCCGGGAAATGTGATGTTAGTTACAGGTTATGATGATGACGATGATGATGATGGTGATGATGACAATGATGGTGGTGATCCTGGGCGCTCGTGTAGACTGCCCTTGTAGATCGTGGCACAAGAGTGAGCTAACAAAGTAACTCCCATGTTAGGTCGGCTCGAACAACGCATGTTAACATGAAAATCAAATCGGTCCCCATGGCCCTGCCACACGTTCCTGACTCGGGAACGGCTGAGAAAGTGAGAATTCGATAGCCCTGCTGACTTGGGCAAACTGAACTGGTGAGAATCCAACAGCCCTGCCACACGCTCGTGATTGCGGAAGCTGCGATGGTGAACCCACCCTTGCCATGCTCAGCGTTTTTGATGCTCTTGCTAGTCAGCATGAGATGATAGCAACTTCGATTCGCAACTTCCCTCGTGGATTATCGAGTTCGGCCTCCGCGCCCCTCTCCACAATTAAATCCTATTGAACCGGGGTTTAAAAATAGAGGGGGGAAGGGAGGTGGTACATTTGTATCTGGGGCACTCGGTTATCTCGGGAGCGGCAAAGAGTGGGGTGGCGAAGAGGGGGGGCAGGTACTATGGCTCGAGGCAAGTGCTGCGCACAGCTCGCAGGGCTACGCACGCGCGAACGCAATCGGATATCATAGAAGCCCGCTGACCGCCAAAATCGTAGGTTCAGAACCAAAGCCGGCCAGCCAGATTGCGGCACAGTCGCAAGCAACGCGAATGCACGCCGATCGCAACACAACCAGAGGCCAGTCGCTACGAACTGGATTCAGAACGCGCGCGCACAGGTCGACCAAAGCAGCGTTTTACTGGACGTGACATCCACGTCACCGGATCGTGTCTTCGCAACCCCCTGTGAGCCTCGGATCCCGAGCATCTCGTGGCCATGACGGCGCGCGTCACCAGACACCTTCCGCGGGGCACCCACTGGAATCCACGGCCCAGGCATTGGCGACAGGGCGCGGGCCAGGGGCCACGAGGAGGAGGAGGAGGAGGAGGAGGAGGAGGTGCAGGAGGTGCAGGAGGGGGAGGAGGAGGAGGAGCAAGAGGAGGAGCGTGAGGAGGAGGAGCAAAAGGAGGAGGAGAGGAGGAGAGTAGAGAAGGAGAAGGTGCAGGAGGAGGAAAGGAGGGGAGGAGGTGCAGGAGTAGGGGAGCTGAGAGGAGGAGGAGGAGGAGGAGGAGGAGGGGAAGGAGGAGCGTAAGGAGGAGGAGCACGAGGAGGAGGAGGAGGAGAAGGAGGAGGAGAGGAGGGAGGTGCAGGAGGAGGAGGAGGAGGAGGAGGAGGTCTGGGCAGCGGGGCACGGGGCACGGGCAGCAGCCCACGGGCCGCGGGCCACGGGAACCAGGAGCCAACGGGCCACGCGCCGCGGAGCGCCCCCGGGGGGCCACGGGAACGAGGAGGCCGCCCCGGGAAGGGGGTCGAGCAACAGGGGGGGGGCAGGAGGGGGGTCGAGCGACAGGAGGGGAAGGCGGGCTGGGCAGGAGAGCCCAGTATCGAATCGACAAGTCGGATCGGCGATCGAAATGGATCGGATCGGCGGAAATCGGCAGCCGAGTCGGAAAACGTCGAATCGGCGGAAATCGACAGGCTAGTAGGCCTCCAATGAAAAATCGGAACCCAAATCGGAATCCCAAGTCGAATCGAGTCGGAATCGGAATCCATCGAAATCGAATCCAATCGAATCGGAGGAATCGCAGCAAGCCCTGCAGGGGGGGGGAGCAGGAGGGGAAGGCGGGCTGGGGGCGAGGAAAGGGGGGGGCAACTTGAGAGGTGCGCACGTGAGTCGGTGAACCGCGCGACCCATGCGTTTGCGCAGAACTCCTGCCCACGCGAATCCCATCAGGATCTTGGGATTGTTTTCGATTATGGCTCCGGGGCGCAAGGGGGAGTTCTGGATCCTTGGCACGTGTTCTCGCGGAACTCCTGGCCAAAATAAAGGTGCTCCAGGCAAACGCCGCGTGTCCGCGCTATGTGCATTCTGGGAATGTCATGGCCAATGCCATGCGTTCTCTCGGAACCCATGGTCGTTGCCATGTGTCCCCGGCAAACCCGTGTCCGTGCCATGTGGTTTCTGGGGAGTTCATTGCCAGTGTCATGCGTTCTCTCGGAACTCATGGCCGTGGCCAGGTGTTCCCAGCAAACTCGTGTCCATGCCATGCGTTCTATGGGAATGTCATGGCCAGCGTCATGTGTTCTCTCGAAACTCGAAGCCAACGAGCGGATTGAGCGTCACCATTGGGCACCGCAAGGTTTTCGCGATCAGCCCCGTCGCAAATGCGCCGCGGCGCAGCGAGCCGCGGCATCGCGGGAACATGCGGCCATTGAGGTCACGGGCCAGAATGTCGAGAAACCACGGGCCGCAGCGGGACAACCCTATGGCTGGAGCCGCCGGCCCCGCCGGAGACGACCGTGCGACCGCCATGCCCCGTGCCTTCGCGAACGCCATCTTCAGAACTCTACTACGGAGCCATCGCTGTCGGCACCTCGACCCTGGACGTTGAGTAGCTTGCATTGCGCAGTCTCTGGTGCAAATGTGCTGCCGAACGGACCCTGGCCCACCGATCTTTACACAACAGTGAGTGATCAAACAAAGGATCTGTCCTATACGTGAGCGCGCGTGTCTGTGAGGCGTTTCTTTTGTGTCTAAGGGGTTGTCGAGGTGACATCAGTCCGCTATACCCATGACAAGGGACCATGAACGCACCCCACTGCTGATCGTATCACCGCTACACGACATCACTCCCCCCGCTGCGTGTTCGTTCATAACACTATCCCACAACACTCAACCCACTGCCGCCACACACACGCTACCCACACACCTGCCCACACCCCCCCGCGATACCCGCCGCCATCAGCCATCACTCGTTCCTCGAGATCCCAGGGCACGACTTCGAAGCTGTGGACGTAGTCTGACGACGACGACGACAACGACGACGACGACGACGACGACGACAACGACGACAATGACGACGACGAGGACAGTGACGATGCTTTTCGGGTCATACCTCAGGTCTCCAGCGGCCGTCTGGGACGATCTGGGCACCCGGGAACGCTCTCGGCGAGGCGCAGCTGCTGGAGAGCACCCCGAGGCTGGAACACCGCCGAGACCCGACGAAACAATCCGAAAACCTCGAGACCCGAAAACCCTGAAACAGCGTCGATCATCGCAGGGCAGGGATCGAACTAAACAGTGGTGTTCGTTTTCGTCTTGTGTTCGTTTTCCCTCGCTTTGTCTCCTATCCACCTTTGCTGCAGCACGAAACCGAAACGATAACGGCCCACGAAATCGCCAAAACACCGGTTGGGTCGGCCACTGTCGCAGGGAGCAGCGGCGACGGCGGCGAGCGACTGCGGGGAAACGGCGGCGGGCGACACGAGAGGCTTCTTGGATGGGGTCCGAGCTGATGGGGTCGGCGGATCGCGCCGCATCGCCATTGCATTCCCCGCTGCATCGACAATGCATCGGCGACGTCGGCGGTGCGTCGGCGACGCCGGCGTGGAGAAACTCTGGCTCCACATCGAGCCGCATCGCCGATGCATCATGCATCGGCGATGCGGCGCGGCCCTCCGCCCCCATCTACGCCGACCCCATCTGGGAGGCCTGCGGCAGGTTCGTGTCGTGCCGACGTCGGCGTTGGTCTGACACCGCGGGGGTCTTTCAGCCTTGAACGGTCCGCCGTTTCCGACACGTCAGATCGTTCAGAACCGACCGCTTCTGGGACGCCGGCGGCGCTCCACGACGTTGAACGCCCGCGGCGGGGTCGCCGCCGGTCCACAGGACGCGGACCTATGCCGCAGAGAGGCGCGCCTTCAGCTCGGGCGCCCCGGGGGAGATCTCGGCCAGCTCCAAGCACCGCCGGGCAAGGTCGTCGTACGTGAGCTGCCCGTCCTCCGGCCGCCCGCCCGCCCGCTGCCGGCGGCGCCGGCGGCGCAGGGACACACAGGGGAGTGCGGAGCCTGCTGGGGACGCCTGCAGATATCGACAAGCGCGCGCTCCACGACTCGCAAAGGAACTACTCGCAAATGGCCTGGATCCGCCGCGTGGAATTCACGATCCATGACATGGAGAGAAGCGTATTTGTTCTGACGTTTGCGAGCAGGCGCTTTGCGAGCAGTGGAAAGCGCTCGGCAAAACAGCAAGAAAATTAGCCTGGCGAAAGACCCAACCATACGCAGCTGTGAACACCGCCATCGCGCATATAATCTTCGTTCGCGCTCCCTACGGGGCCACGAACCGTGCGAGGGGCGTGCCGAAATGTGTGGCGGGGTACACCACAGCAACACAGACGATCGGTCTGAGTGCGAGAGACTAAGAAAGGGTGAGCCTGAGCGCGAGTGCGTCTGATTGTGAACGAGTCTGCGTGCTCATCAGTCTACGCGCATGAATGTCGACGACCATGTCGGCACGCTCCTCACGAGGATCGCGCCCGCTTCCTTCCCGTTATCTGTTCTCCCTCTTTGCCCGCGCACGCCGATGTCCACGGCTGCGGGCGCGGCGCCGCGCGCAGTCCCCGCGACGCACGCCGGTCGCCCCGGAGGGGTCCCAGCGACGCGCGCGGGCCGTCCGCCCCGCGGAGCAAAGAAAGCGAGCAGGCTAGCTGATAGCGGGCAAGGCTGTGGCCGCTGGGCAGAGCGACAACGGGGGCGAGCGAGGCTTTGGGCAGAGCGCAGCGCAGAATTCCCGCGACGCGCGCTGGTCACCGGGCGCGCAGTAGTGTCTCGAGGGAAGGGCGCCCGGCGGCGGGGGCGACCCCAGCAGCGCGCAGCAGGCTTCGCACCCCCCGTGTCCCTACAGGGCAGTTTTTAGTACATAGGACGTTTAAAACATATCGGATGTTTAATACA